GTACATGAGTGGATACCATGAAGTACTACTCAGCCATAAAAGGAAAATCTAATATCTTTTACAACATCTTGGATGGAAATGGAGACCATTTTTCTAAGTATCTCAAGAATGGAAAAACACCGTATGTACTCAATACTAAATTGGAACTAGTCAATTCCACACTAATTTCCAATATAAGTAAAGCAATGGGAACCAAGTAGGTGGAAGAAGGGAAGATGGGATGGGTAAATTCACTTTTAATGGGTACAGTGCACACTTTCTGGGTAAAGGGATCACTGATAACTTTCACTTAAAATGCACCCAAGAAAATTATGTAACCAAACCTATGTACTCCCATAATAATCTGAAATTTTAAAAAAGAGTATTTTTCCAGAGAAACCAAATGCAAATGATACAAATGGGAGCGACCTCTCCAAATACCAAGCCCCTCAAAGGTCCACATGAAGCCAGAAAAGTCTGCAATCTGGAGTCTGAGAAGCTAAACTGAAGTAGTACAGCTGGCCTAGTCTGCTTAGCTCACATTCTTTCCCACATCCTTCCCCTATGATTTACTTGCTAAAGTTTAACTATGATTGTGAGGATGTTTACCTCAGGAGACTGAGAAGGTAGTCACACATAGACAATAGTTGTGATATTGGCAGAGTAAAGGTTGTTTTAGTATAATAATGTTTTCTCTGATGATTCTCTTAGATATTTTGATAAAATGAAATCATCTTTCTGTTGTTTAAACATTTTGCATTGTTTGAATGGAAACTACTTTGACGTTATTTCCTATCACACAGAGCCTCTTAGAAGCTAACAAATCAGAAGTGGGAAAGGATGTATATAGAACACTCACCATTAAAAGCATTTTGTTTGTTTCTCTACAATCTCAGGAACTATTTATTCACCATAAGGCAAGTTTCCAAGTTCTGTGAGTCAGCAACATCTGCTATATATTGTCTCAGAGATGACCCACTGTCCAAAAGGACTGTGTATGAGGAAGCACAAGACACACTAATACAACCTCCTGCCAATGAGAGGCCCCTGAATCACTCACTGTCAAATGCCCGGAGAGGACAACCATGGAAAATACCTCACTTCTGTTACTGTCTATCCTGATCCCTTGCATACCACCCATTGAAAACCAAAATTTTTAGACAGCAGGGTCTGTAATGTAGAAAATTATATTTCACAAGGTGCTAGATGAGATAAGAACAGTTTCTCAAATCCATATTTATGAGAATTTGGGAGAAAGGGTTTATAAATATAGTTTGACTGGAAAAGGGTTAGGGAATTGGATCTGCTGATTGGCAAGGGATGAGTTCATAGTGTTTGGATGCACACTAAAATTTTGTGATTCTTCCTGGGTTGTGGTATCTGTTCCCACACTTATGCACAGATCTGGCTAGCATCAGTAGGTCTCTGGGATGCAGAGTTTGAAAAACACTTCCAAGACCAGTCTTAATATTTGCAACAGTAATGTTATGTATGTAACCATGAGTCTTGGGATTTACAGTAGCAATGTAGTTGGGAGGAGTCACTAAGCTTGATCCTGTCAGGCAGAATAGTGCCATTAAGCAGTAACCAATTACAGCAGCAAAGAAGTTAGGGAACATTGACTAGTCAACTTCTGGCTATATCTATATTTGTATAAAAATTAGACTTTGATTACTATTTGTATTTGTATTACATTAATTTAATATAGATGGTTTCAGTGTGGTGTGGGAGGTGGACAGGCTGAATTATTTACAGTACTCCCCAATCAGGGTAAGGTGCCCATTCAGGGGAATTTCTATGTGACTGTCCCTGAAATCAGCAGTGCAGGCAGCTGAAACCATCAAATAGTAGCTTAGGCTAGAGAAGCTGAGATGTCTGTCAGAGGGGATGAAACTTGCTCTCCCTCTTCTCTCTCTGTTTTCCTTGCACTGATTATCTGGTATCTTCATATTTCAAGTTACTCTATGTCCCTGTTTACCCTTTGCCCAACTTTCCTGGGGGATGTATCTCCTCTCTCTCATTTTTAATCTTGACTGCTGACTACTGACTACTATGCATTCTCACACATATACAAGAATGTTACGTACCCAATAAAGATTTGTGGAAACAGCACAGGTGTTGCATTGTTCTCATGCTACCACCCCAGTCACATGGAACAATGTATGCCCTTACAGCTCTATGTACCAAGTTTGGTATAAGTTTTGTCCTTTCCTCAGTGCTGTATCCCTTGCTAGCCACCGTCCCAGGTAGAGGTCCACTTGGCGCTCCACAAAATGGAAGCAGTTTTGTAACTGGATAATGAACAGTGTTTGAAAGAGTTTAGAGATCTCAGAAGACAGGAAGATAAGGGAAAATCTGAAACATCTTAGATACTGGTGAAGTGGTTGTGACCCAAAATACTGTAGAAATATAGACAGTAAATGCCACGCTGACAAGGTCTTAGATGGAAATGAGGAACTTGTTGGGAGATGGAACAAAGATCACTCTTGTTACATCCCATCAAATAACCTGGTTCCATTCTGTCCCTTCCCTAGGTCTTTGTGGAAGGCTGCACTTGAGAGTGACAAACTAAAGCATCTGGAAGAAGAAACTTCTATTAGTAAAAATCTCAAGCAGTAGCATGACTGCTTCTAATGGCTTATACTCAAACATGGGAGCAAAGGAAATACCTAATCTTGGAATTTATCATTAGAAGGGAAGCAGAACATAAACAATTTAGAAAATTTGCAACCTAGCCAGGTGGTTTAGAAGGAAAGAGAATTTAAAGATGAGAAATCTGATGGTCCTATGAAGCAACTACTTGCTAGTGAGTAGCATGGATAAAATAAAGCCAGAGATTAATATAATAATGAGGAAAGGGCCTTGACAGCATGTCTGAAATCTTCAAAGTGTCCCCTCCCATTTTAGGCCTAGCTGCCAAGGAGGCCAGAATAGTTTCATGAACCAGGCCTAGGGTGCCACAGCCACAGCTCTGTTCCAAGGTACTACTTGACCTCCCACTCCCAAGGGTATAATCCTCATTCCTTAGTGCCTTCTACATGGTATTATATCTGCAGGCATGTAGAATGGAAGAGTTGTAGGCTTGGAAGCTTCCACTTAGATTTCAGAGGATATAAAAGACAGCCTTGGTGCACACATAGAAGTCTGCGACAGGGGTGGGGAACCCACAGGAAGACTCTACAATGGCAATTCCAAGCAGAAGTGTGGGATTAAAACCTCCCATAGAGACTCTCCACCAAGGATACTGCCTGGTACATCTATGGGAATAGGGCCACTACTGTCCACACCCCAGAATCATGGAACCATCAGTAGAGTTCACCTTCAGGTTGGAAAGAAACAGACATTTTACTGTAACCCACAAGATCACAAAATCAGCTACATGGTCTTGGCCCAACAAAGCTGTGGGGGCAGAGCTGCCTGAGACTTTAGGGGCCAAGCCTTTGTAATAGAGTGTCCAGAATGCAGGGCACAAAGGCAAGGATTCTTCTGGAACTTTAAGGTCTAATATCTTCCTTGCTGGGCTTTGTGCTTACATGGGGCCTGCTATGCTTTTTCTTTTTTTCTTTTTTAGTGGCAAACTCTTACTCTTTTTCCCAGGTTAGAGTGCAGTGGCATCATAAAAGCTCACAGCAAGTTCAAACTCCTGGGCTCAAGCCATACTTCAACATCATCCTCCCAGGTAGCTAGGACTATAGGTGCCTGCCATGATGCCTGCCTAATTTTTCTGTGTTTAGTAGAGACAGGTTATTGCTCTTCTCAGGCTGACCTTGAATTCCTGAGCTCAAGAAATCCTCCTGCCTTGGCATCCCAGAGTGCTATGATTACAGGCTATGAGCCACTGTACTGGGCTGATTTTTCTTTTGGAATGAGAATGTTTACCCTAGCTATGACTGTACAACCATTGTAACTTGGAAGTAAATAATATGTTTTAATTGTGCAGGCTTGTAGCTAGAAAGAATTTTCCTTGAGTCTCAGATGAGGCTTTTTACGTGTGGCTTTTGAGTTGATATTAAAACGAGACCCCTAGGGACTATTGGGAAGGGTTGATTGTATTTTGCAGTGTGAGAAAGTTTGTGGGGCCAGGGGAAGAAAACTATGGCCTGGATATTTGATCCCTCCAAATATCATGTTGCAATTTGACCACCAATGGGGCATAGTGAGAGGTGTTTGGGTTATGGGAACAGATCTCTGTTGAATGCCTTAGGATCATGCTTACAGTAATGACTAAGTCATTCATTAGTTCCCAGAGAGTCCCCCAAGATCTATTTGTTTAAAGGAGCCTGGCACTTTCTCCTGATCTCTATTGCTCTGCACTTGCCATCTTCCTTTTGCCTTTCACCATGAGTAGTAGCCCTAGTATGTCTCTCTCTCTCACACACACACACACAACCCATTGAAAATCATCCCTATTTTTAATGCAGAGGGAAAAGTTCCTTTCAAGTGACTTTGCTGAAGCAAAGACAGTTCTTAAGCTTTCAAAGAGGTTTTTCTGGGTCCAGTTGACTTACCAACAGGAGAAGCAGAATCGCGTTTCTTCTCTGGTTGCAGATGCTACATTTAGTCAATGATTCATCTTCCAGACTGGTTTCACCAGGCACGCACACTGGCAAAAACAAAAATGGAGGGAGTCAGCTTCCTTTGTATGGTGGGGGGATCGTCATCTTTCATTAATGTTTGTGTATTTAATGTGTGGCCCAAGACAATTCTTATTCTTCCAGTGTGTGGCAGAAAAGAAAAGGTTGTGTGCCCCTGGATGTTAGCATATATAGCAATCAGACTGATTAGTTAATGTGACCAGTCTTTAAATGACTTGTGCAAAGGGATGCCATTTCTGAAACTGACCTGCTGGAATAACAGTAAAGGTTGGTAAGAGCAAGGCATTGTTTGAAACAAAAGTCACAGTGGAAGTTATAAAAGGCGAATGGGATAAATTGAAGCAGTCTCCAATCAGGTTCTGATGTGCAAACCTCAAAAACTGAGGCTCAGATAAAGTGTTTAAAAAGGACTTCCCCCGAGGAGGGTCGGGCGGCTAGTTGGGAGTGGTGGTGTTATAGGATAAGTTCCGCAAAGGAGGCCACCACTCAGGGCCCGAGAGCCACCACCCCCAGTTTGGGGCCCATCACACCGGGCGCGATTCGGCGTCGCTGCTGTTGGCTCTTCTCAAGCCTCGTTCATCCCCACCCCCAGGGAACCGCCTTGGATCTCCGCCATGGCATCCACTTCCAACAACCTCCAGAAAGCAATAGATCTTGCTAGCAAAGCAGCCCAGGAAGACAAAGCGGGGAACTACGGAGAAGCCCTTCAACTCTATCAACATGTCCTGCAGTATTTTCTCCATGTAGTTAAATATGAAGCACAGGGAGAAAAAGCCAAGCAAAGCATCAGGGCAAAGTGTACAGAATATCTTGATAGAGCAGAACAGCTTAAGGAGTACCTGGAAAAGAAAGAGAAAAAGCCACAGAAGCCAGTGAACGAGGGACAGCCGAGTCCAGCAGATGAGAAAGGGAATGACAGTGATGGGGAAGGAGAATCTGATGACCCTGAAAAAAAGAAACTACAGAATCAACTTCAAGGTGCCATTGTTATAGAACGACCCAATGTGAAGTGGAGTGACGTTGCTGGTCTTGAAGGAGCCAAAGAAGCACTAAAAGAAGCTGTGATACTGCCTATTAAATTTCCTCATCTTTTCACAGGCAAAAGAACACCTTGGAGGGGAATCCTATTATTTGGACCGCCTGGAACAGGAAAGTCCTATTTAGCCAAAGCTGTAGCAACAGAAGCAAACAACTCAACGTTTTTTTCAATATCTTCCTCTGATCTTGTTTCAAAGTGGCTAGGTGAAAGTGAGAA